GTAAATTTCTCCACTTGTTCGATTAAGAAGTTTAAATTCAATAAAAGAAGAATGATATGTCGTAAAGAAGTATCACTTCGTACGTGTGTACACAAACACGTACAATTTTTAACTTCCCCCACCACTCCACACCACTCCAGTTTTCGAAATTCGAGTTTTCATCAGATCTCGACGTTTTAAGGTCCTACGAAGATATTCTGACTATTCCTACGAGGATGTCACTATATCTGTAGATATGTATGCGTGTGTGTTTGTGTGTGTGTGTGTGTGTGTGTGTTTGTGTGTGTGTGTGTGTGTGTGTGTGTATAACTTTTGAATGGCTTGACCGATTTGAACGAACTCGGCAGCGTTCGAAAGGGCTCCACCAAACATATTTTCTATAACATTTGAACCGATTCGGACCGGTAGATTTTGAGAAATCTTAAAATTAAAATTATTTCATAAAAACATTTTCAAAAAAAAGTTTTTTTTTAAATAATTTTTAAACAGATGTAACGATCAATTGCAAAATCTAATCAGCTCTTAAACTCAAAAAACGCGTTTAAGAGCTGATTATATTTTGGAATTTGGATTGTTGCGAACCGCATCAATATTGCGCATATGCCTCGGATGGTGTTAGAGTTTAAAAAAATTAAAACACTACAGGTGTCCGGTACTTAGCTACAAAGTTATATTATAATCATGTCATTAAATAATTGATGTTGGGAAAACTCACCAAAGAATGATTGTTATTAAGGCGACGTTGCAAGTATTATTAAATATTATGCAAGGAAAATTAAACAATGATTGTGTGAAGATAGAAACGCGAATCCACCATTGAATGCGTGAATCTAATTCTTTTTACTTCATTTAACTAATGAATAAAATTTATTTTAATCTTCTGAAGGAAATAAACATAATCTAATAATACAAGAGCTCGCGGCCGCCCCGACCAGTGCCCCAAACCATTTAAGTTTGTTTTTTAAAACTTAAGTTTTTTTGAATATATATACAATATTAAAAACTATATTTAAAAAAAAAGAACAAAAACTAAAAACTTAAATTATGATACAGTCCTATCGTGCCAAGAACGTTAAATGGACTATACTTAGCTTTTGAGCGAGAAAAGAACCAGCCCTTATCAATAGCAGCGATGACCAGTTTTTTTTTTTTAATTGCAATATCTTCGCGAATTATCTTTGGTAGGAATCGGTGTTCTTTTGCGAGGATTTGTAATCTATCAAATTGGATGTAACTATATATGGATGTACTAACGATAGCGGGGATGATCTTGAACATGTCCGCAGACTGCAGACTTCCGACCGGTGCTGTAAAGCACCCGAAACGTCAGGAATTAAACAGTTAGGTAAATATAAGAAATCATCAGATACGTAATCATTCTTTTCCCCAATTAGTCCGGTATGTTTAGATGACCAGCTTGTCGAGTTTAACATTTGTGTTGATTAGTCCTTGTGACCATAAAGTGATTTGAGAATGTACATTTTTATTTAGTACAAGCTGTTCCCCGCGAGTTCGCCCGCGTGTAATTTAGGTTTTTAATTTTATTGCGCAGAACCGATCGTTCACTAATGAAAAACAGCACCCTAATTATTTTTCTAAAATAAAACTAGCTTAATTTACTCCTTAAAACATCAGCTATCTGCCAGTGAAAGTCTCATCAAAATCGCCCCAGCCGTTTCGGAGATCAGCCGGAACAAACAGAGAGACGAACAGACAAAAATTTTAAAAATTGTGTTTTTGTTATAAGTACCGTATAATATACTTTCATATGCATATGTAAAAACTGTTATTTTGACATTACAAAGAGACACTTCAATTTTATATGTATATTTGTATAGATTTTGAACATGAGTAAACATGTATTATATTTTCGTAATTTATATTTATTCTCTGTAACTACAATAAGAGTAGAAAATTCACTCCAAGAGCTAGTTAATACCTGAAAATATAATTTAATATCATTAACGTATCTGACATGAATTTGCAACAAATCACTTCATTTCAACTAGAAAGCTTTTCTATAAATATTAAATAGCAGTAATAAATAAATAGCAGTAATCAATTATAAATCTGAATAAATTCACGATCGCCTTATCATAATAATCTCAGAAATATAGATCTAATCATAATCTTAGAAAATAATCTATTTATCATCACAAGAAATCGCTAATTTATTAAATCAGTACTTACATGTAGCAGCCATTATAGTGTCATGCCCACAAAGTGTATTAACATCGTCACATTATAAACAATACAGATAAAGTATCGCTGCTATAATTTTTTTTTTGGAGTTTATGGCCTGGTATCTAGACCTTTAGGCCAAGTCTTAAGTATTTTTATTCGGTTTATTGTAATTTCCCCACTCCTTCATAGTATACTGCTTCACAATATGTTGATGCGTCACATTGTGCAGTTCTTGGGAGATTTTGGCGGCAACTTGATCCAGCAGACAGCTGATAGTTGGCGATGGTATCTAAAGGTGCCTATGTAAACAAACAGCTTATCTTGAGAATCCATCACCATCAGAGCACTTGTTTCACTGTTTCCACTAATAGTTCACATGCGTAGACACTTAATACACAAAATCGCAACACTTTTACATATCAAAGTCCACTTCAAACCATTATTTAAACAATAATACAGGAGCAGCAAACCGCCGCCGGTTAATTTCCCGCCAAAACTCCTGCTATAATTTATAGGGTTGCCACTCGTAGATAATCCAAAATGAAGTCCCTCTCCTGGGCATAGTGGCACAGGCCTCCTCTCCTCAGTGGCGGATTATCCTAAAGGCAAACCAGGCACGTGTCTAGAGTCTCCGCTAGAAGTAAAGTGTTCTGTGGTCTAGAGACGCAAGGTTACAAAGCGGCGCGAAAGTTTTTACACAAAAAAAGTTAAGTAAGTATCTACTTGCATAAAATAAAAAATTATACTTCCTTTCTCTCCTATCGCCTTCACTCTCTCATCCATTTATCATTCATACTCACCGGTTACGTGTCCTAATTATAATTAAACTATAATATAGTTTACTTGCAAATTAAGTAGATATAATTTATAATGTATGCATTCCAAAGGAGCGCCGATGAGGTGCTAGCTTAGGGCGCTATCGACATTTAACTCTGCCTCTCTCTGCCTGTCCTATTCGTATCGTATCGGCAGTGGAGCAGAGAAAAGTTCGAGCTAATTAGAGCTCAATTTTTCATATAAAAGGGACAAACGAACGTTCGGCTCACCGGATAGATATTTAAATCAAGTCAATACAGAAACTATATTATAAATTGCCTTTTTTAAAGCACTTTTGAAAGTCAAGTAAGCGAGAGACCTTTCTTTGATAACAAGCGGCAAGGAACTCCTAAATAGTATATTTTTCTAAAGAACCAAAATAATATTCACAAATTCTTAAGCCGAACGTGGACGTTTTGTTTTTTTAGTCGTTATAAGGACGAAACGCTACTGGCACGACAACGTTCTTACGGCGCCACGATTTGAAAAAAAAACATAATTATAAAAAAAATCGATTCTTGAGTAAGTATCGATATCTCGGAAACTAAGCGATATATCGAAAAATTTTCTATCTAGAGATCTACGCTAATCCGCCTTCAAATCGTGGCGCCGCCGTAGGAACCGAAGAAGCCCTACGCTGCTGCCAATCTCTTGATTTATTTCCCTCTGTCGCTTCTTACTACACCCACGGGATAATATGGCGTAGTTTGGTTCTCCGCCACTACATGGTAGCATTCTTATCTTTTAGACATTCGTCTAATTTATAACATCCTTTCTTCATAAGTATGCTTTTTACATGCGCCTTGAACTTATGCAATGGCAAAATAGTCATGAACTGTTCAAGTTAGATAAAGATATCAATATCTCTATCTATCTTTGAGTAAGTGTCTTGGCCTAACCTTGTAAATAGCATGTCTGTAGCATCAATATGTTTTGTATATGTATAATAATAGGAAAAGGGTAACAAACGAGCACACAGTCCACCTGATGGTAAGTAGCTATTTTACGCTGGTATTCTGTGAGAGTGTGATCCTTCCTCGGTCGAGCCGACCGATTCGTGTTACAACTATACTACTGATATATCTGCAGCATGGCTCTACCACGTATAAAGAACACCCTAAGCTCATTTCTCAACGTCTGAGGTATGAAATCTGTTTAAAACCAAATGGCCAGAGATTGTAACTTGTCTAGGATACTGTTTCGTTAATAAGTAATAAGTTATACATAATAATAATATTGAACATATTGATATAACAGGGGGCATAAACATTTTGTAACATTCAAACCTAATTTTATTATGAATTAGCCGGTAGATAACCGGCGCGTTGCTGCCGCAGAAGAAGTAATTGTGGAATATCGTTTTAAATTTCGAAGAGTTTTTAGTTAGGTATTATAATAAATTCTTCGAAGTTAAATGATATATAACCGTGGTACTATTATTTATTCTGTGATATAACTTTCAAATAAATTTGTTGGTACGATACGCGCGCCACCTGCTGTAAGTTGATTATACTATGCCTATAACTTACGTGCAAGTTCAAGCAATAACTTGACAAAGTTTTACCGCAATCTGATGGACGGTATGGCAGTGCATAAAATACAAACAAACAAACATTAACTTGTATATATTAGATAGTAAAGCACTTTTGGCGCTTTCCAGGCGCTTTCCACAGGCGTCAATAGATGGCGCTGGAATTGTTTTATTGGTTCCGTACAACAAAATATTATATTTAAATGTTAAAATAAATTTGTATGTACTTAATATGTATTAAAAATCAATTTTTACTTTAATAGTAATAAAAATGAGTTATATTATGATATTAAATTGAGAAGTGATATTAAGCTATACATTATATTACCTTAGTATTTGTACATATAATTTTACTTTTTTATATTTTTTCATATGACTGAAAAATTTATTATAATAATTATTGTACTTATGTTTTGGTATAAGTTTGATAATTTGAAAACTATGGCAACAGGTAGCGTGGCCGAGCGGTCTAAGGCGCTGGTTTAAGGCACCAGTCTCTTCGGAGGCGTGGGTTCGAATCCCACCGCTGCCAGGATTTTTTCGTACCATTTTTAATTATTGATTTGTTAAATTAATTTTACTTGAATTTTGAATATAAAAACACAAAAGTAACAAAAGAATAACAATCCACATTTAAACTACTGAGATTATACATAATATATAAAATAAAATAATATCGTAAACTGCAGTTAATAGACACTTTCTCTGCTACCAACTGCCAAAAAACAAGGTTATAGAAACATTGTCACACATGTGAGCTAAAAACTAAATGTCTCATCATCTATAATAATTATACTGGCTCTATTTATAATATCTCCACAACCTTCAAAAAAGAAAAGAACATGATCCCTATCTAGGTTTACTATCACTTCACATGACCATTACTTATCATCACAAACGTTTACACCGGATAAATGCGGTCTTGACCGGATTTAATGAGCCAAGACAGACCTCCACCAGGATTTCTATACAGTCGGGACTTTTATCATTCTGGTTATACTTGTGCGTCTACAGGACACGAGCATTAACATAATACAACTTCTTGTGAAGAATTTTACGAGTGGAGAAACCAACTTTTTTGATGTGTTTTTACATGGTACAGCCATGCTGCAGCTATATCGTGGTTGCAGCAAGACCAGGCTCTCAAAGAATACCAGCGTAAAATAACAGCTTAATGCTGCTGCAGTTTCGTATGGTGAGTGTAGAGAACCGAAGACCCTTTTTAATGGAAACGAGGCATTCTATTTCAGTCCTCAGGAGTGAAAACGCATCCGCATTTTGATTCTTAATTGAGGATAAATGTAGATGTCTATGGGCCACAGCAACCACTCACCATGACTGTGTGCTCGTTTGTCACCCTTATTTTATAAAAAAATGGCCAAAATATAAGTTTGAATAAAATCTATTGAGTTTTATTGCCGGTACTTCAGCTGAAGACTGGACTTGGAAAAATAATGGTAATAAAAAAATATATATATTTGATTACTAATTTGAACTGGCTAGTACTCGGGGATCCACGGTATGTACCCTAATGTGAACAGTTGTGATTAAATGCAATATGAGCAGGGTTGCGCGCGTACTGTACTTACTGTTCACCATGTTGGGCGCTGGCAGAATAACAGCGTTGTAGACAACTGCAACATTTATGCTGAGCTAGAGCCCATTCATTACTACATTATGTAATTCTTGTCATTTTTGTATGTACTGATTTCAACTTTATTGGTGGTAATGAATAAATGCTTATTATTATTATTATAAACAATCACACACAATCCCCTCCCCACAATCCTTCTAACCTATGAAAATAATCACATGTTATAGGATATAGGTAGGTATTCCAGTGCGTGTTGTGTAGATGGGTAGACTAGGGAATTCTTTAGGACACGATCCTGACACACGTCTCTCGCTTCTCTAACATCCATATTATATTCCACGTCCCCTTCGGTTTAAAAAAAATTAAATCATGTACTCGTAATGTACTATAGATAAAATTTGATTATTACATATTTATCTGGACAGAATGATTGATTATCATATTACTGTGAAAGACTATTGACTTTTTAAAACGTGCGTGTGTTTGCAATTTTTCTCCTCCTGTTTAGGACCGATTTTGATGAAAAAGTTACGTGGTACTTATTAGGTAACCTAGATAGTTCTTAGCTAGTAGGACCCACTAGGTAGATGAAATAGACGCACGATTCCCCTTCGTCATCTTCATTACCATCATCATCGTCATCATTAACCTCATTGTCATCGTCATCGTCATCATCATCAAGATCGTCATCGTCATCGTCTACCCGAAATGATGTCCCACACGAAACGGCAACAGCAACGGCAAAAAGGCAAACAGGAAGCATGAATTTTATAATCAGTAATTTTTATTTTTTTTTATTTATAGGATAGGGTGACAAACGAGCACACAGTCCACCTGATGGTAAGTGATTACTGTGACCCATAGACATCTACATCTATCCTCAATAAAGACTCAAGATGCAGACGCGTTGTCAGCCGTGAGGACTAAGATGGAATGCCTCTTTGCCAGTAAAAAGGGTCTCCGGTTCTCTACACTCACCATACGAAACACAGCAGCGTTAAGCTGCTATTTTACGCTGGTTTTCTGTGAGAGTGTGGTCCTTCCCCGGTCGAGCCGACCCATTCGTACTACAACTATACTACTAATATAGCTGCAGCATGGCTCTACCACGTAAGACAAAATTAATTACTGATTATAATATTAATTACTGAGAACAATTATTAAAGAGATATACTTAGGTATATTTATAATAAATGTAATTGTGCTCTGAGGAATTGTTTGGATTAATTCCAGCCGCCAAATTTGACGAACGCACATCGCGTCAAAATTTACGATACCATCCTCACCATCTGGTTGGTTGGTGATCCACGACTGTGCGTTTTACAAGGAGTTTTCTTCCTCGTACAACTTCTCTGTGGAATCTTTTACCACCGGCGATTTTTCCGGACCGATACGACTTAGGGACCTTCAAGAAAAGAGCTTACACCTTTCTAAAAGGCCGGCAACTCACCTGCAATTTCCCTGGTGTTGCGGTTGTTCATGGGCGGGGGTAGTCACTTACCATCAGGTGAGCCGCATGCTCATTTGCCCCCTCTTCTATAAAAAATAATAATAAAGAAATCTAATTGATGAATTGATCTTTAAAAAAGATAAATTAAATTTTGAGGAAATGGAAATTACACTCGTAATAAGTATGCTTTGTGGCATTCCTTGGGGGAGGCCTATGGTAGTGGACTTGTAATAGACTGTAATGATGATGATGATGAAGTAAACATTTGTTTGTATAACTTTTTGTTGTAATATTTTCCCATAGAAAAGGCGAAGAGGGCAGTGGGATCTAGCCAGAGGCGGATTAACTGTCTACAGTGCCGTATATTGGAAAACTGAAAACTTATGGGATACACCTCAGTCACAGTGCCTGTCCGTCGGTCCGTCAGTTCGTGCCGATTGCTGAATCCCGACTCGCACTTGCCCGGTTTTTTGTTTTCAATAACCGAATGACAGCCCTATGAAAGTAGGTAAGAATTTTGAAGTCTTTTATGAAACTTTCATTCTGCTCGGTTTTATATTCTTGCGCTAGCACCTCATCGGTGCCCCACTGGCAGCCATATTTTATTAAATATCTAACTAACTATATTATAATTTATATTGAAAACTAATTGGGTAGGCCAGGACACGTATATACCTTTAGCAGTTGGATGTGAACGAAAAATGTGATGAAAGAGTGATGGCGATGTAGTAGTAGTAGTAGTGGTAGTAGTGAAGTAGACAGACTTCGGGAGCTCTACATCTCTATATAAAGTATAAGTTTTTATTTTATGTAATTAAGTAGGTACTAGGTGGGTACTAACTTAATTTTGTTGTAAGTTAATTTAAACATAATTTTATTGTTTAAAAACTTCCGATCGCGCCTCTTTATACTCGTAACTTCGCGCTAGAGTCGCCTTGCCTTAAAGATAATCCGCCACTGTATCTAGCTCATGAAAATGATCAAATACTTTTTTTTTGTACAAGCATTATGTATAGATGTGTACATGTTGACTTTATTTCATACAAATATAATTTTATTTGTGTACATTAATGTCACAGTATCTTTCGAATGATAGAAGAAATGAATTGTTTGTAACAAAATAAGAATCTGAGCAATTAAAAATGACGATTTTGTTTTTTCTTATTTAATATACCTAGTCAGGTCATAAGTATTGTCACACAGTAAAAACTTTTCTTTTAGAATGCTGGCCACAAAAAAGTTTATTGAATTCGAATTTCGAATTGTTCATGATAATAAAACTGTATACTTTTTAGAATTTTACTCATTTTTAAATATAGAGTGGACGCTTAAAGAAGACCGTGTTGCAGTTATTGCGTTGCATCGTTGCGGTTACGCGCCAATTCAAATTTTTGACATACTGAAAAATTTGAATATAACCAAAAGATTCGTTTATCGTACCATCAAACGATACAATGAAGACTCTAGTGTAGATGACAGGTCAAGAAGTGGTCGCCCTCGGTCTGTTAGGACTCCAGCAGTGATAAAAGCTGTGAAGGCGCGAATTCAAAGAAATCCCAAACGTAAGCAGAAACTGTTGGCCCTTCAGATGGGGTTAAAAAGAACCACGGTGAAAAGGGTGTTAAATGAAGACTTAGGGAATGCTCGTCTAATGCATCAATGCATCTCATCCCAATTTGGAGTCACTCAAGACATGCTTGATTAAGGCAGCCGCCGATATTGACATGGACCTCGTTCGTGCTGTGATAGACGACTGGCCGCGCAGATTGAAGACCTATATTCAAAATCACGGAGGTCATTTTGAATAAACTTTAGTGTCATAAGAATCTATGTTTGTTAAGTTCATTTTGGTATATAAATGGTTACATAATGAATAAACTTGTTTCAATTATTTTATATTAAACATGTGACAGAATTTATGACCTGACTAGGTATAATACTTTCAATGTCTTTCAAAGAAACTCTATCGATGGAGACCCTTGCCAGAATTGCTTAAGTGCTTTAACCACATATATCAAGCTTTTTACTAGATTGGGCCCTCTTAGCTGTTTCTTTTGCCAAATAGCAATGAACCCATTGCTATTTGCCTATTGAAGATTAAGAGAACCAGTAGATTTATCGGATGTAGATCTTAGTCCTTAAGAGAAACAACGCGTTTGTGACTTTGACTAGTCCATATAATAGTTAGTAGTATTGAAAAATCTACATTTTTCATAATTACGATAAAATGCGAATCGTGGTTTATAATATTAAAAATGATATTTAATCATCTTGTAATCAAGATTTTTTACCGTAATATTAAATGTTGTATTATTTCCACAATTAATTTCTTTTAGCTAATTATCGCCTTCTATTTCAGTACTTACTAAAGTAAGACTATTTTCAACTATTATCATAAGTGTTATTTAATTGCGTTATTCTTGTTAACTAAGTTTTAGCGTTCTTTGTTCTTTTTTCTAGCTTCTACTAAGTATCAAACTCAGATGAAGTTTTTACTTCATCTGTATACAACATAATGTTTTGTCATTTTCAAGGTTTCTTTATAATTGCGCTCGATAATGTCATTCATTAACAACGGCGATTTGATAAGTGGTTTGATAGTGGTGTGAATATCTTTTTACATTTTTTTTGATTTCTTGGAATTATTTCACATAGGTAATTATTGAACTTTTTACATAGGACCCTTTTCATTCGAATCGGGGCTTTCCATCTTAGTCCTCAGGGGTTAACAATGCTTCTGCATATTGATTCCTAATTGAGTATAAATGTGAATGTCTATAGACCACAGTATCCACTCACCATCAAGTGGACTGTGCGCTTGTTTGTCACCCTTATTCTATATAAAAAGGTATAATTTTGTACTGCTCTAATTAAAAATTTGAGGAGTAAGTTTTATATTCTCTTGACATATGAAGACAAAATGAAAAACATATTTATTTAATTTCCTAATAATATTATCTTACTTATACATCTATTTTCTTCTTTATCTTATATCTTCTATCCATATTTATCTTCTATTATCATTCTAATAGGCTGTAACGTTTTTCTTAGAATTACTATCGACGCGAATCCAATCCAATGGAATCCAATGGAGCCCTCATATATATAACTAGCTGTTCCCCGCGACTTTGATAGCGTGTTAGGGTTTTTATGTTTTTGCGCGGAACCCTAACTCTTTTTTCTAAAATAAAAGTAGCCTAAGTTACTCCTTATGAAATCAGCTATCTGCCAGTGAAAGTCCCGTGAAAATCGTTCGAGCCGTTTCTGAGATTAGCCGGAACAAACAGACAGACAAACAGACAAAAATTTTAAAAATTGTATTTTAGTTATAAGTACCGTATTTACTTTCATGTGGATTTATTAAGAAACTGTAATTTTGACATTACAAACAGACACTTCAATTTTATTTATTTGTATAGATAAATAATTAACTGGCTGTTACCCACGACTTCGCCCGCGTGGAATTTACGATTGAATTTCAATGTTTTTTGTGCTGAACTCTAATTCTTTTTCTAAAATAAAAGTTGCCTAAGTCACTCCTTATAACATCATTTATTTTTCAGTGAAAGTCCCATCAAAATCATTCCAGCCGTTTCGAAGATTAACCCGAACAAACAGACAGACAGACAGACAGACAAATAAAAAATTTAAAAAATAATTTTTGTTATAAGTACAGTATTTACTTTCATATGCATTTAATAAAAAGCTGCTATTTTGACATTACAAACAGACACTTCAGTTTTATTTATTTGTATTTGGAAGTAAAGACTTAAATGAGTTGGGGGGTGACTCGAACTTTAGGCCTAGTCAGTTTGAATAGCCTATCATGTAGAGGATGTCATGAGGCCGTGGTTGAATGGGGGCAAAAAGTTCTCATTACACTCCTAGAGGACAAAATGGCCAAAATCCAAAAAAATTTAAATTCTTATTTCGGCTATAACTCCGCCTCTTTCGGAGGATCTTACACACTAGTTGTATAGATATAGATATAGATTAGTAAGCAGGCTGCTACTTCAGTAGCATATGCTGTAAGGAAGATTAGAGGTCTCACTAATGGTGAAACAGATAGTGTTAATAGAGTCAAGCGTTTCTTTGTGGAAATCTATTATATAAAAGATGTAAAATTAATTAGCTTACATCCGCATAAATGATAATTAAAAAAACTCCCACCAATAGGAACGTTACACTAGAAACTACATTTTCTCCTTGTTTGTTTCCCTCTGTCGCCTCTTAAGGCACCCACGTAGTGGATTTTCTTACACGTTGAAAGCGCTTTTATTAAAAACACCCTTTCAAATAAAAAGCGTTTTTTT